CGGTTTGATAACGAAGTGAGGGTGATGATCTTCAAGTTAGAATACTTTAAGGTAGTTGTATCCTAATCGTTTTTAACACGTAATAGTGTGTATAAATTAGATGTACTAACATGAAAATGTTCTATAGATACTAAATAAATTAAGGAAGCTTACAAAGATTCTTAAGAACTATCTTTCAGAACGTTTTCCTAGGATAGTTTGAATGTGAACTTGGAGAGAAGGACTTGATCTTTTGAGAGAATATGTGATGAAATTTTGTTTAACTGTGAATGAGGTTTGAAAGGGTCCCTAATTCGTGGTTATATAGTGGAATAAGAGGGTAATGAAGTGACATTTACATTGGGATTACAAGAGTCTCGTCGAACAGACACTTCTTTAGATTGGACACGTGGAAGGTGGGGTGTACGTTGCTGAGTTCCTGTGGTAGTTGGAGTCTATAAGCTACTGGGCCAATTCTAGCAAGGATCTCGAATGGCCCGGCATACATTGGATTCAGTTCTCCACGTTTTCCAAAACGTACCATTCCCTTCCAAGGTGAGACCTTTAACAGAACGCGCTCACCAACCTGGAACTCCAAGGGTTTGTGTCGTTTATATGCGTAGATCTTTTGTCGGTCCCTAGATGCTTTCAGTCGTCCGCGGATCTGAAAAATCTCCTCTGTAGTTTCTCATATGATCTCAAGGCCGATGAGAGTGCTGTCAGGAACTTGCCTCTTTGCTAGTTATGTGTTACCCACTTCAGCCCAACACAGAGGTGATATGCACTTGCGTCCGTAGAGGGCTTCGAATGGCGCGACCTTAATGCTAGTGTGATAGTTGTTATTGTATGAGAATTCAATGAGTTGTAAATGGATATCCCAAGCTTTAACAAAGTCTATCACGCAAGCTCTCAACATGTCCTCTAGCGTCTGCATGGTTCTTTCGCTTTGTCCGCAGTCTGGGGATGGTACGTTGTACTCATGTCGAGTTTGGTTCCCATGGATTTATGTAGTGACTGCCAGAACCATGAGGTGAATCTACTATCTCTGTCAGAGATGATGGATATTGGTACACTATGTAATCGTATGATCTCTTTAATGTAGGTTCTGGTTAGCTTCTCCATCTTGTCGGTTTCTTTTATTGGCAGGAAGTGTGCGGATTTGGTCAACCTGTCAACGATCACCCAAATGGTGTCGAGTCCACCTGTCGTCTTAGGTAACTTGGTGATGAAGTCCATGTTTATCCATTCCCACTTCCATTCAGGTATTTCTGGTTGTTGTTGTAAACCCGAGGGCTTTTGGTATTCTACCTTGACCTTGGTTCAAGTCAGACACTTGCCCACATAGGTAGCGATTTCGGCCTTCATGTTTGGCCACCAATAAAATTTCTTGAGGTCCAGGTACATCTTGTCTAAACCGGGATGAACGGAGTATTTCATCTTGTGGGCCTCGTTCATAACAACATCTCTGTACCCACCGAACTTTGGTGTCCAGATCTGATTCATGAGATAACGAGCTCTGTCACCCTTGACTTCCAGATTTTTATCCATTCCTCTCAAGGATTCACCTGTGACGTTTTCAGGTTTCAAGGCTTCCGGTTGAGCCTCTTTGATCTGTGTGGATAGGTGTGAATGGATGGTCATGGTTAATGATTTTACTCGGCGGACCGAGTATTATTTTCGACTGAGGGCGTCTGCTACTATGTTGGCCTTGCCTGAATGATAACGAATCTCACATTCGTAGTCGTTTAGTAGCTCTACCCATCGTCGGTGCCTCATGTTAAGATCCTTTTGGTTGAAGATGTGCTGGAGACTCTTATGGTCCGTGAAAATTGTGCACTTCATACCATAAAGATAGTGTCTCTAGATTTTCAAAGCGGAAACCACTGCTCCTAATTCGAGGCCATGCGTGGTGTAGTTAACTTCGTGAGTCTTAAGCTGTCTCGAGGCATAGGCAATGACCTTTCCTCGTTGCATGAGCACACACCCAAGACCCTGCTTTGACGCGTCGCAGTAGACCACAAAGTCTTCTGTCCCTTCTGGGAGAGACAAGATAGGGGTGTTGCATAGGGCTTGCTTTAGTGTGTGGAAGGCAGCCTCTTGTTTATCTTCCCACTTGAAGGTCACTCCTTTCTAAGTCAAGGTGGTGAGTGGCTTAGCGATCTTGGATAAGTTCTGTATGAATTTCATGTAGTAGCAAGCAAGGCCTAAGAACTGGCGGATCTATGTCGCTGTTCTTGGTGCTTTCCAGTTCTCAATTGCCTTGATTTTGGAGGGGGTCCACATGTATCCCCTCTTTGCTGACCACATGACCCAAGAAGTCCACCTCTAGGATCCAAAATTCGCATTTGGAAAATTTTGCATATATTTTTTCCGTCCTCAACGTCTCCAGGACTTGTCATAGGTGTTGACTATGTTCTACCTTATTTAGTGAATAGACCAATATGTCGTCGATTAACACTATCACAAATTTATCTAAGTAAGGTCGGCATACACGATTCATCAGGTCCATGAACACCGCGGGTGCATTTGTCAATCCGAAAGGCATCACCACGAACTCGTAATGACCGTAGCGAGTCCGAAACGCCATTTTGGGAACATCTTCCTCCTGGACTCGCAGTTGGTGGTTACCCGACCTCAGATCGATTTTTGAGAAGTAGCATGATCCATGAAGTTGGTTGAATAGGTCATCGATTCGGGGTAGAGGATATCGATTTTTGATGGTGAGTTTGTTCAACTCACGATAGTCAATGCACATGCGAAAAGATCCGTCTTTCTTCTTAACGAACAGAACTGGTGCTCCCCAAGGTGATAAACTTGGTCGGATAAATCCTTTGTTCAGCATTTCGTTTATATGACTGGATAATTCCTGCATTTTGGCCGGAGCCAATCGATATAGGGACTTGGCTATGGGGGTGGCTCCAGTAATTAATTCGATTCTGAACTCGACTTATCGCACATGAGGTATTCCCGAAAGGTCTTTTGGGAATACATCGGGAAAGTTACAGACTTCAGGAATATCCTTTGTATCCTTTACCTCGTTCTTCGTGTCAACAACGTGTGCTAGGAATGTGTGGTACTTCTTGCACAGGTAGGTCTGAGCCTTGATGCAAGAGATGATTTTCAGACTTGTGTTAGGTTTATCACCGTAGATGATGAGGGTTTCGTTATTTGGTAAGTTGAGTCAGACGACTTTTTCGTAACACAAGATATCGACGTGGTGAGGACTTAACCAATCCATACCAATGATAACGTCGAAACTCCTTATTATAACTGGCATTAAATCAATTTGAAAGGAATGATTCTTTAGAGTTAGAGTGCACCCTATGTACACGTCTTTAGTGCTTTCAGTTTTACCATTTGCCATTCCTACTGTGAATATTTTGTTGAGTGATTGTAGTTTTTGGTTGAGTGTGTGTTTAAACTTGTGGCTCACAAAACTTCTCTCCGCACCACTATCGAAGAGTATGCATCCATATGAGTTATTGAGAAGGAACGTACCCGTAACCACCGTGAGGTCCTTCAAGTCTTCCTCATTCCCTAATGTCAGAACCCTTCCTGTACCCCTAGCGTTCCTATTATTGGCTTTGGGCATTCCCTCCTGAAATGCCTCGTTTCCCCGCACCCATAGCATGTTCGTCTCACTCTGGTATGTCACACCCCCAAACCGAAACGACGGAAACGTTCGGGGGCGGAGGACGTCATGTATAGTATCACAACAATTGCATAATAGTAATCAAAGTACAACAACCATTACATTGATAAATTATAGTTTTACATTTGTGTTCAAATCAATGTATACTTGACACCAAAATGTATAGCAAAAGTTAAAAGACATTACTCAAAGAAGTTTTGTCTTCTCAAAGCCTGTGGATACATGTTTACTGATTTCCTGAGAATACAAGCAGTTTTGAAAAGAGTGTCAACAATTAAGTTGGTGAGTTCAAAAGCATGTTTGTAATTGAAATCTGTCGTTTGTTCCTTGAAAATGTAAGTACGCTTTCCCAGAAAATCCTATATTTTCTGTTGTAATGTGTTGTACTCAAAACGTGTAAATTTTATTATACTCTGAAATGATATAAAGTAGTTTTAAATTCATAAAAACCATGAAAAGTGTGTTTTCTCTGTACTGGAATAGTATTCTGTATTTGTACTTGTATGAAAACTGTGTAATTGTAAATGTCTAGATTCACCAGCTGTACTTGTAAAATAATGTATTATAGTTTAATTATCTAATAAAACTATGTGAAATTGTTTACTTATTCATACACTAATCGTATTGTTCAATACCAAATTGTGAGTTATTATAACCATACTTGATGACCTAAGATGGCCTGAACACGACGTTCTTCAGGCGTCGAAATCGGTACGACATTTGTCACCCAACCCCTGTCGGCCTAACTGTAGCGAACAGTCAAGGTGCGGTATTGTCAGCCCCGTATAGATCTATACACAAGTGTGACGCTCTCCCTCTAGGAGACTCTGGTTATAACTTTAGGACTTAGTTGGTACTTAGATAAGTACGTGAAGTGTGTCTCACAAATGCTATATTGACGGTTACGTGTAGAATAATGAAAAGTTACTTTGAAATGGACACTACTAGAAAACAACCCTTTAATGACGCGCAAACAATGACACTCGCTGATAGAGGATGCGCATTTGTGTGTGCCCTAAAAAATAATGTCAGTTTTGCAAAATTTAAAGGATTTAGGACACGCATTTTTGCGTGCCCTAAAATTAGTGTCTAAACAAAAAAAACACGGAGGGCACCTAAAATAAAATGTGTGTCGTCTAAGACTGTCGTTTTATAAATTTTAATATAACGCGCGTTCCATCCGGGAAAAAAGAAATCCCAAAAAGTTAAAAACCCCGCCTTCCTTTTTTTCCTCCTCTACTTTAGTTTCCCTCTTTGTAATAGCTAGGGCTTTTTCAAGAACTTGCATCGGCCGCTTTCCTCTACTGTTCGTTCTCTCTTCGACGTCCCTTTCTCTTCTTCTCACTTTGACAAACCCTTTCTCTTCTTCTCAGTTCTCGACGTCGACAGCTTCTCCCACCTCCGACGTTTCTCTTGGCGCTAGCGCCCCCCACCTCTGACCTCCGTCCAGCCCCGCCCCGCCGTCCAACGCTTTCCAGTGACACCCAGCCTGTGGAGCCCCTCCTCTCTGGCACTTTCCAGCGAGTCCCATCTGGTGGAGTCCCTCCTCTCCGACAGTCTTACAAGAGATCTGGCGACTCACCAAGACTTCCCAGCGGTGTCGCCAACAATTCTCCACCGCAATTAAACCCCTTGTGTTGATGCTCCGCTCTCCATCACTGGAAGCCGACGAAGCTGCCCTGCTCGCCCTTCTTAACCTCGCTGTTATGGACGAAACGTATGTTTGTTTATTTTTCTGCTTTTACTTTGATAATATGATGATGATGATAATGATGAGCTTCACTTTGTGTTCAATAATTTTCTTTTCTTATCGTTGCATATTTTTTGGATGATTCAGAAATATTTGGAAAAAGAAAAAGGAATCAAAGCTTTTTTGAAAGTGTGTTTTGTGGTCTCTGTTTTATCGTTGATCCTTTTTTCCAATTGGTTAACAGAAAAGAAAACAATTTGACTCAGTTAATTAAATTAGTGTTTGTTCTTACTTCTTATTGATAAACAAAATCCATATATTGTTTCTATAAATTAAACAATATACCCATGATTTTGATTGGAAGTGTTTAGTTTTATGAGTAGTTCTGTTCATGCTTAGACAAACAGTGTTCTCTTGTTCATAAGATTCCCTACTAGGATATTTCATTGGTGGTTTTAAAATTCTTGGAAGAAGTTAAAATGAATTAGAATTTGAAAAGTTTTTGTGGACTTTTCAGAACAGAGAACAGCAGCAGCAGCAGAGAACAGAGAACAGCAGTAGCAGAGGACTTCTGAGAGGTCGGTGATTCAAACTACTCTTCACCTTGAAGCATATCTAAATTATGGCTTGTATATTCTTGCTTTTGTATATCTAAATTACTTAATTGCCCTGTGTCAGCTTTTGATTTTGCCCCACTAGATTCTTGCTTATCTCCTTGAAGCATATCTAAATAATGTTTTGTATATAATTAGGTCATGAAGATGACATGGTGATAGAATTGGAAAATGAAGTGAGAAAAGTACTTAAATAACTGTTGATTTCCCAAGTACACTGGTTGTAAGCCAAGCCGTTGTCTAAGATTCATACAGTAACAATTTTTGTTATCTTTTCAGCTATACTTTGCTTCCCATGCTGCTTCTGTTGGAAGCTGCAGTAAACTACATATCTCCATTGGCATTAAATAACAAGTTTAAAGAAAAGCCTCCTAAAATAAGTGATGTCGTGGCAGAAGACATGCTTCAATGTTTGGAGGAGTTGCTAATCAAGTGTCATCTAGGATCTGTGGAACAGGTGTAATGAAGTTTAACCTTCTGCTTGCGTTTTCTTATTCCAATACATACCTCAAGAAATTTTGTTCAAGTATAATTGTATTGTTTTTGTAGATGGTTGTAGTATTGAAAAATTTAACGAATGTGGCGTTGCTCTCACCATATGAGGCATAAAAGGAGTTTCGTGAAGGAGTTATTAGATGTTTTAAGGAAATGATTCTTGGTTCATGTTTGTGCTCCAACAAGTCTTGCAATTGCAACCAAAGAAACCCCGAGGAATGTTTACTTGCATTCCTTCGTTCTCAGTCTACAATCGTTACTATTGGGCACTGGCTGTCACTTTTATTGAAAGTGGTTACTTATATCTATTACCAATTTATAGATTTGAAATGACATTGATGAGGATGGAAGTGCTTCTTCAGTTTTAGGTCTTGAAGTTGAACTAACACTGGCTTTGCGCTTCCATGCAGTTAGGACCCTTTTTCACCTACTGAAATCAGCAGGAACTTGTCTTCCTCATCTTCTAATAAACATGTTCCTTGATCTATGTCCACTGTTTCATCTACAATGGTATGTACCTTGAACACAGAGCAAAATGACCGCACAGCCGATCCACCAACATGCTCTCTAAGCAATTTTAAAGCAGACTAGTTATCAATACCCCAAGAATAACTAAGTGTACATTTGCGCATCATTACATTATTTAGCTAGAAAATTTTCAAGGAAGATGATAATTTAAAATCATAATTAGGTTTCAAATACTAGCTGCCAGAGCCAAGACATGGGTTCCGTGCCAGAATATAATGAATTAAGTGTTTCAGTGGAACTAATTGTACCTTGTCAACCTCACAGTTCCATCTTCACAACCTGTTGCTATGAAAGCTGATTGGAAAAGGTGAGCCTGCTTTTCATCTGAACCCAACTGTGTATGATCATCGACAATGAAACATAGTGAGTGCTTCTCTCTGCCATGGAATTGTAGATAGAGATTCTGAGGGTATGAGAGAATAGTTAGTTAGACAACATCTCGCATGAGAAAATCAATCCAATGATAAGACAATAATACTACAAGAAAGAAAGAGGGCCAATTTGTAGGTATACTCACTAATCACTTGTCACAAGAAGGTTTGATTTCAAAAGTTATATTTCTTTCTATTTTGTTTTCACCTTTATGATTCTATTAAGTAATAACACATTTGTTCCTAACTTTTCCCAAAAAGGAAAAGAGGCGTGATACTTGGTGTCCAGGGAAACTTCCAAAAAAGATGATGAATATTGTTTGTTGGGTGTGTAAGGGTAAAATGAAGGTGGTAGTCCAGATATAACTCAGGTATGTTTCTCTTCTCCAATGGCCTTTTGTAAATGTTGTCTAAAAAGCCAGCATTGATCTTTTTGTTTTTTCAATTGTTATAGTTGATGAATATTGTTTTGGTCCAGATTTAACTAACTCTTTTTGTTTTTTCAATTGTTTAGTATGATAAAGGCAGTTGAAAAGCTTGATGGTGAGTATTTGATCATTCATTTTCTTGTAATGTATTTCCTTTTATGGATTGAAATAAATGCACTTGTGGCAATCCTTTTAGGAGGAGTTGTTGATGGAAGAGAGATGATGGTTCAATTTGCCAAATATAGGCCCAATGCTGAAAAAATGTGAGTCACATTCACATATGATATAATATTTCCAAATTCCAAGAATTATAGTTGAAAAAGTATATGGTTGTTTGGCTAATGTGGTTGTTTTTATTCTTGTTTTAGTCATAAGGGAAGGATACTTGAACCAGTAGAAAAGTTGAAGGGTGGATCAAGGAGCCGAAGTCCTAGACCAAGGTATAATGAGAATGTAGTTTTCACGATTCTACCCTTGTATTGGAGTTGATGTTTACCCAATGTAGTTCCATGTAGTTCCAGGTATAGAGATGAATACAGGGGCTACAGGAGGAGAAGTCGCAGCAGAAGCAGGGACAGATATGACCGTGAAAGGAATTATTATGGAAGAGGAGACAGTCACAGAGATCGTTACAGAAGTAGGACCCGCAGTAGGAGTAGGAGCCCTGATTATCATAGAAGACACAGGAAGGGCAGATATGATGATGATTATGATTATGATGATGAGAGAAGCCCAGATATTGATAATTTTTTTACTGATTAGTTTTATGTTTTGTTTGACAGGAATGATTTACTGAAATAAGGTTTGAAAGATGGATTCTTGAACTTGTTTGATGGTTGGTGCATCGTATTGTTAAGGTTAATCTTTTTTCATCCCATGCATTTGCTCAGTATGTTTAGTACTGATTTTGGTTTCACATTATCAAGACTATTGCTTTTGTGTGCTTTTTTTTTGGATTTGGATGTTTATGGGTGTGTTAACGTTGTTTTTTTAATGGATAAGTATTGGTGTAATAAATTTGGGAACTGAATGCATTTTTTGGTGTGGAATATGTGGTTGATGTTGATGTTGCTGTGGGGAGAATGAGATGAGATTGTGTAGCAGCAGCTGTTGATTTCACTTTGTGAGAGTGGTTAGAAAAACAAAATGCTTTCTATTGCTCAAGTGAAGTAGGAAATCTGATTTTATAGACATGGATATTAATATATTATGAAATAATTACTGACTTGAGATGTTTATTATGGGTAAAAAAGAGTTTTAGTTGGTTGCTGAGAATGAGATGATCATGATTATGATACATTAGTTGATGATGATGATGATGATGTTGCTGCTGATAGCTATTAAAATGTTGTAATCCTTTGGTAGCTGTGTAGCAGAGCCTAATAATCAATCTCATTATTCTTCAAGCTTAGAAGTCCACGATTTGATATGTTATCCTTGTTGTAATAGTTTTGGTCCTTGTGGTTTTGGCCCATTTATAGTTTTTGTCCCTTTCTCTCTCTATAGCTAGTGTGGTATCATGACCTAATTGAGAATACTTTTCTGATGCAGAACTGATAACTGATACTACCCGTGTCATAGCAAAGGTGAAAGAGTTAGTTAAAGGCCACACTAAGTTTATTTTTGGGTTTAATACTTTCTTGCCCAAAGTTATGAATTAGCTTATTCTTTGCCTATTCAATAGGATTCATGTATATAACATTGGTGAATTGATTTTATGTGCTCTACCTTACCATGAAACACAGGTTTTTGTCCGGATTGTGCAACTTATTGACACAGGGTAAGAAAAGGGTATATCCCGTTCTTTTTTTTTCTATTTTCTTTTTGGAAATCTACTACAATTCGAGTGTCCACACAACTGATTCAAAGATGGCTCTGCAGGTACTTTTTTTTAATCTTTCTAAAAATTCATGTTTTATATTTTTATTCAAATTTTGACACTTTTTCGGAAAGAATATCATGTCTTACATGAATTTTTATTTTCAGATATTTTGCATTGAATACAAAATTAGCTATGTCGGGGAGCATGACTCATGATGTGTTGTGTGATTTGCTGGGCATAAAGATGGATATGACAACTTATTCGGTAAAAAACTATTATAAATTTTGTTTTTTTTATTGATTCCAATGTGTTTTCTGGAGTTTGTAGGTTGATTTTTTTAATCTTTAATAATCAATCTCTTGGTTTAATGTGTTTGTTTTAATGGTATTCGTTGATTGAAGGCAACCAAATTAAGGAAATATATGATATTGAGGATTTTTTTGACATGATATCTAAAACAAAAAGGTGCCCTTTATAACAATGTAGTATTAGGTTATATAGTTAGGGAAAACCTCTTAATAACAATGTATAAGCAGATCGCTTTAATATCAATGTATTACAATTTTTTGACATGATGTTATCGGATGAAATTGATTGTTTTGGTATATATTTGTTTTCTATATTTTTGTATTATGCGTAAAAGAGTATCGTAAAGGCACGTCGTATATGTATATTGTAAATGGTTGCTGAAGTTTATGACACGCAAATGCGTGTCATCTTCATTTATGACAGGGGCTATAATGATACGCAATGCGTGTCCTAAATGCGCCTCATAAGGTTACGATACGCAAATGTGTGTCGTCTTCCTTTATGACAGGGCCTTCCTTGATACGCATTGCATGTCTTAAATGAGCGTCGTAAATGCGTGTTGTAACTGCGCGTCGTCTATAGACTACGCGCAAAAGCGTGTCGTCTCTCTTTATGACAGGGTCTTCCTTGACACGCATTTGCACGTCATCTGAGCATTTACGACACGCATTGCGCATCGTAAAAGGTTGTTTTCCTAGTAGTGGGATAAGCTGTAAGTATATGTTTGTTTTCCGTAATGTATTTTGAATATGTAAAGTAGTGGATATGATCCATAAACTATACCTATTATAGTTTATATGTTTCTTTTCCGTATTGTAATCTGAACTTTGAAATGCAACATGTAAATTCCATAAACTATACATATTATAGTTTATATGTTTGTATTTTACTGAAATGAAAACATTTGTATTGTTAATATTTCGGCAAGTTTAAATTGAAAAATCCGTAATACAGTTGTTCTGTGAAATTCAACATTTATGTCTCAATGGAACTAAAATAGTTTGTAAAAATTATATTTTTGTTTTACAAGTTTTAAATGGTTTTATACTTATATAAATATAATATTTATATAATTATGATTAAATAGACAGTCGAATAAATAATTCTACCTCAAGCCCACAACCAAACAAGGAACAAGAAATGGAGTCAATTTATCA